TATATATATATATATATATATATATATATATATATATATATATATATATATATATATATATATATATATATATATATATATATATATATATATATATATATATATATATATATTNTNTTTTTTTTTTTTTTCTTCAAAAAATTGCGATATTCACTTACCTATAGTCGGCGCTGCCGAAAGGGCGCCGACGAATAAAAGCAGCAACAAGGCCCTAAGACTCCTTGCTGTTTCACGAACCATTGTGGAGTCCTTGTTAACACCAAGATTATACTGTGCATCGGTTCTTTCATCTTACTGCTTTTATAGCCATCGATCTTTATACACGCACTACATCAAACCAATTATGTAATCCGACGAGCCACCTCTCCATCCTTTTTCCATCAACATCGCATCCACATCATTACAAACCTAATATTTTTGGTTTTTCCGTGGGAATTCCAGTTCCACTCGAGCTCGTGCTAGCTCCACTCTTGTTTTTCGTGCTAATTCAATAATCAAACGCTTTTTTATAAACATAATGCTCGTCATAAGTATATCGAAAAGTATATCCGGAATCTATCCAATTATATATCGATTAATTTATCCATAGTTTCGTTATCTCGTGTTTAAATTAATGAATTTATTAATGTTTAATTAATGAATTTCAATCGTTTCCGTGAAACGTGCCTACGATGAAGCTATTCTGGTGAATTGGCACGCGTATTCGTTGTATCGAACAGATTAGAAGAAGAAATTGAAAAATTAGTTATCAATTCCTCGAACGAGTTAAGTAACGTCGATAGCCGATACGTTATTCAATTCGTTACGTCAACTTATTGTTGTTATGATTGAAATAAAATGTAATTCAATGAATTTTTTTACTTGTGCAAAAAAAAATATAGTATTTTTGACATAGAAATTAATTGTAATTAACTTCTTCTCTGTGTTATTTAATGTTACTTTAATACCATCGAGTTTGTTGTTACTTTTCGATTATACAATACGAGTTAGAAATCATCTTTAAAGGAGAATTAATAATCGATAATTGGTATTCATCTTGGCAACAATTTTAAAATTCATATTCAATTTTCCGTAAGAAAGAGAGAGAGAGAGAGAAAAAGAAAAAAAATTACAATGTATCGATTTATTTATTTGCACACATATTTATTAACGCTTTTTTTTATTCTTCCTGAATTACCGACTTACTTACATTTTATTTTATCATTCAAGGCTATTCTATTTTTAACGTGCAAAAGATATTTGATTAAAACCTCGAAATAAATTATCGCATCCTTTTGAATCTAAAAATTGGATAAGTATATTTTTTCTTTTTTTTTTCTTTTCTCGTTCAATATCAATTTCCTATGATAAATTAACAATAAATTTATAATAAATAAATGATATAATTATATTACGCATCTAACATCGTAATCTTAGAATTGAAATAGAATGAGGAAATAAAGTAATTAAGTTGATTTATATTTTAATTACAAATTCCAGGATTTATTTTAAGTCGATTCGACTTAAAATATAGTATGATCTCTCGCGATGATCATCGGTTACGCGTAAAACCACACTGTTTCAAATTTCTTCCACGAATATTATATCGACATATAAATGCTTATATGTTTGTTCGAAATTACATGTAAACGGATAATGATTCGTGTTGCAGAACTGCAATAGATAATAAATCACGTAAATGAAATGAAAGGATGGAGGAGGGAGGGGGGGGGGGAGTGTTGTGAATATCAAATAAGTGTTTACATGATTCACGCATAAATGCATCGCAATAGTAATATTACGTTCCCCTGAAACGTTATGATTACTCTTCCGCATCGCAATTAAATAATAATTCATCGATTTTAAATTATTTATCGAATCAAAGTTCACCCGATCCGCTCGATAATTAATATTTTCTGAATATTGAGTTCGAGGAGTTTTTTTTTTTTTTTTTTTTTTTTTCGTTCAAAGATAAGATAACGAACTTGAACACAGTGGCAATGATGCAAACTAAATTATTCAACGGAGTTAAACGATATGGTAATAAAAAATATACATTTTGTTAATGTAAAGAAGAAACATTTTTTTCCTGTTATACAGTATTAATGATACAATCTTCATCTCGATGATATTATATATATATATATATATAGATAATTAAATACTAGGAAAATTCTGAATGATTTTTGCGTTTCACGTTTTCTTTTTTTTTTTTTTATTCGCTTAAATCCCACCTCTGGTTTAATTTATGAAGATCCTTAAACAGTGTGAGTGAGATCACCTATTCAATATGTACAAATTGTAGTAGAAGGTTTAAAAGCTATGAAACGAGTAATCGCATCGAGATCTTCCTGTTTCAGAATCTCGATCTTCCGTTAACCTTGGCCTGTAGAGACACATGAATATGAAATAGGGACGATAAGGAATTCGATGAATTCGCACGAGATTGAGATTGAAAGCTTCTGAGAGAGAAAGTAATTCGTTCAAAACATTTGTTATCCATCCGCTTCAGAAAAATAATCGAAATTGGATTGATACGAAATTTATTGCTTCAACGACGAATTTTCGTTATTCCGTTATGATTCATGACTCACGTGTGTTTTCCACGAATTATTTTACAATTTTGCATTGAGAGTGGCAAAAATTCTCACCCGGTTAACAAACAATGCAACTCGATTTTTCCTCCTGTTCATTCCATCTCGTTTCTTCCCCGGGTAATTTTATCGAAACGGCAACTATTATTCTTGGAACATGATCTTGAAGAATAAATTTTAGCAGTTTAATTGTTCGCTGATACTGATACGTATACACGATAGCATTGGTGGTAGAGAGAGAGAGAGAGAGAGAGAGAGATCGGTATGCAATTAAATAGCCGGCTCCAGGTAGATTAGACGTTTTAACCGACGGACGGTAATTTTTTAAATTACATGTAATATAGTCGTATTGGATGATGTTCACCAACGGTCACGATTCAGTTAAAACAATTGCGTTATCCACCGCACACTTTGTAACCGTGAAGGAGGAAGATTATTTTTAATGGGCGAACTCTCCCGCCTCTCCCTTCGCCCCTCTTCGCCCAACGGCTTCTTCCATTTCGACGGCCTTGAAATAACGTGCGTCGTGAAAGGACACTGTTTCGCGGGCAAACTTTGTTTACTTTCGTTCTCGTTCTCGTTTCGTTTCGTTTCGTTTCTTCGATTATTGGAAATCAAGAGGGAGAGATTTTGCGCGACACAATTGAATTCTTCTTTTTTTTCGACGGCACCCATCAAAATACACGGTGAAGTAATATTACATGTGTAATCGAGTTATTCTCGACGAGTGAAAATAACAGTGTATTATCGTCTTGATTTTACGTCATTACTCTTCCGCGTAACGAAAATTGTTTCGAATAAAAGTTGAATGGTTTCAAAGTGGAGAGTAATGCGGTGTAATTATTTTTCTGCACGGGGAACACGTGGAGGTTATATCAAAGTCAAAACTTTGTTCTTTTCTTTTTGATGAATGGTCATATATCCTTTTTAACATTGTAAGTAAATTCAATATTCGTTATCGTTCTGTGCAAAGAATTTTATTTTAAAACTACGTACGAGCAAAAGCTATTGCTTCAATTATATTATCTCTTAAAATAATAATTTTTTGAGACTTGTATAATATCTGATACTTTTTTCTTTTTTTTTTTATAGAGGATATTGAGATGCAGCGGATGAGAAAGTATTTGATTCCGTTTAAAAAAAATAAAGTTGAACTTCATGATTGGAACCGTCCATCTTTTATCTGAAACATTGTTTAATATTATGAAAAACAAGCGAGACACCCGATATATTTCTTAATTTTTTTAATAAATAGAAAACAGGTAAATGTAACATACATATATATAATTTTATTATTAATATATATAACTAGAATTAAATGAAATGCTTATTTCCTAAAAAAAAGTAAGATTAAAGAGGTAAGTATAAAGGTAAACATGTTAAATGCCACTCTCTTTTGAATTATATTCTCCTAACAGAAGATCCCGAAATTCGGTCGAAAATTTTCGGCCGAAGCGTAAAAATATCAAATTTCGAAAAAAATTCTTGGAATCGGAATTCCTTGAAAAATTTCTCGATCGACCTCCTTTTAACTTATGTTCTCCTGATACAAAGTCGAAAATTGGTTGGGTTGAAATTTTAACAGGAGAATATTGTATCAAGAGAATATAAGTTGAAAGGAGGTCGATCGAGAAATTTTTCCTCAAGTTTCAAATTTTCGACAATAATGTAGCAATAAAATATAAAGTGAAAACAAATTTGTCCAGGAATTCTAGAAATAAAATTTTTTACCAAATTTTATATATTTATCTATATTCTCCTTGAGATATTTATCTTTCCTGCTTATTTCTTCTATGCTTTTTCAGTTACTATTTTTTATTTTTTTTTTTTTTCAATATTTTATTCAATTCTGTTTTATTATAGAAAATGTATTTGTAAAAATATTTGATTACTTTTAAGAATACATATATTTAAAATATATCTGATATATCTCTGAATTATGTTTCAGTTGCTCTACCTTTGATATTTCTGTACGCTTTGTACGTACATTCTTAAATTATCTATTAACGCATATTGTTACTACTCAATAAGAACTTTCCATGATGTAACGTGTCAAGGAAGCTTTTACTTAACATTGAAATATAATCATCTTTTTCTATGTCGTATGTTCATTATCTTAATACGTCATTTGCTATTCTTATAGATTGCGGAAATGAAGAAAGTTAATTTTTCTGAATGATGATCCTTCAACAGTTATAAACCAATTCAAAGCATTTATAAAACTTGGCAAATAATCAAAAAAAAAATTGATGAATAGAACGGAAATAGCAGATGAATGTTCCATGATGAATGAAAAAAAATACATGCAGAAGTGAATTATAAGAATTATAAGAAGACAGATATATGACATAAAAATTGACATATAGAATAAATTAGGAAAAGAAGACAATAAAATTAAAATCGGATTCAAAGCCACTTTTGAGCATAAATTATGTATATAAATATAGACAAGAAGAGAAAATAATAAGAGAAGGACAAAGATAGGATAAAAATGCGGGAATCAACGCCATCTTCAGAGCGCAAATAAAACTCGTTATACAAGGACAATAGATAATAGAAGAAGAATAGTCAATTAGTAGTACTTAATTAGTGGCGCCATCTCTTCGAGAAATATTCAAACTTGTTGTATTATTGACTGTAATTTAAATTTAAATAGTCTTTGAACAGTTACGTCATCTCTGTGGAAAATATTGGAACTTTTTTATGATTGATAACTAATCGTAATTCAATATTTTTCGAAGAGATGGCGCCATTAATCAAAGACTTAAAAAGTTCACTTGTTGGTAATAATGCATGACAAATTTTAACATCTTTCGAAAAGATGACTAGTTGAGTACAGAAAAGTACAAAAAATAATTATAATTTGCATTTTTATTTACGGTATGTATATATTTTATATGTATTTTATATATAGAATATTTTATTTGATTAAAACGTAAATTAAATGGAAATATTACAATATGGCTAAAGATTTTTATAACTATATAAAAACTAAGTATATCAAATTTAATAAAATTTAAATATATCATTTTTTTTCTAATTATATTTCTATTAAAATCATAATTTTAAATAGGAAAATATAATTTAAGAAAACGTGACATGTTTCCTGCAATTTTCAAACATCTATTTAATATTTTTAGTCAATGATGTTTTTTGTGTTATTGATCTACAATCAAATAACATTATCTTTCATTATTTCAATTATTTTAAATAATAAATACTGCTGTTTCAAAAATCAAATTTAATATTTAATATTTTGTTTAAAATTTTGTATAATCTTTATTTTCTCTACGTTGTACGTCTACGATTCTTTTATGGCGATGGCTTTGGGTTACTGCATCAGATGCAGCATCGATTATAACGTCCTATACATTTACAACTTATTCTACTACCAGTTAGATTCAATATAAATCTGGCAACATTGGTTGAGTCCGATTTTGATGAAAATATATCTAGTCGGTATGATTTTCCACGTCATTATAAAATGTATATGATTGTTATTATAAATAACAAGCAGTGAATTATATGTATAGTATATTATATAACATGTACATAGTAGTAATACAATAGATTTGTTTCTTATTTATATTAATTAGCTTCTTTTTATTTTTGTAGCACAGTTATTTAATTTTTACTAAAAAGAGACTTAATTAAAAACTCTCAAAAAAGTATTTTGTATTTTTTATTTTATCTACCATAATAATAATTTACAATGATATATATATATATATATATATATATATATATATGTACATATATATATATATATATATAT